GTTTGAGGATGATACCAAGCTAGGAGGGGTTGCAAGCAATTTGGAGGACAAGCTTAGAATTCACAATGATCTTAAACTGGCAAAATGGTCTGAAATAAATAGGATGAAATTCAATAAACACAAATGCAGAGTACTACACTTAGGAAGGAATAATCAACAGAACAAATACAGAATGGGAAATGACTGGCTAGAAAGGAATGCTGTTGTAGCCATGTTGGTCCTAAGATATTAGAGCAGGGGTCGGTAACCTTTCAGAAGTGGTGTGCCGAGTCTTCATTTATTCACTCTAATTTAAGGTTTTGCATGCCAATCATACATTTTAACATATTTAGAAGGTCTCTTTCTATACGTCTATAATATATAACTAAACTATTGTTGTATGTAAAGTAAATAAGGTTTTTAAAACGTTTAAGAAGCTTCATTTAAAATTAAATTAAAATGCAGAGTCCCCCGGACCGGTGGCCAGGACCCGGGCAGTGTGAGTGCCACTGAAAATCAGCTCGCGTGCCACCTTTGGCACATGTGCCATAGGTTGCCTACCCCTGTATTAGAGAGGCAAAGTGGGTGAGGTAACGTCTTTTATTGGACCAACTTCTCTTGGTAAAAGAGACAAGCTTTCAAGCTTACACAGAGCTCTTCTTCTGGCCTGGGAATTGTACTCAGAGTGTCACAGCTAAACAAAAGGTGGAACAGACTGTTTAGCATGTATTCTAAGAGACCATTCAAGGCGATGTGGCCCATTAACAGCCCTGCAGTCATGCAGCAAAAAAAGGGGGGTTAATGAGTTACAGATTATGATAATAAGATATAAATCTAGTGTCTTTATTAAGCCCAGGATAATTTTAATGTCTAGCAAAGTTATGAATTTAAATTCCCAGGCTCATCCTTTGAAAGGACCGTGCAGGTTGCCTTTGAGAACGAGGACTGAGAGGTCAGATATGGAGTGATCACTTTGTGGCAAGTGTTTGCGCACAGGTGATGTGGGCTTTTTGTTTTGTTTTTTCATGATAAAAAATGCGTTCATTTGAGCGCATACTGATTGACTGGTTTCACCCACACAGTTGTTATTGGGGCATTTACTGCATGGATAAGGTACACTGCTGTTGTGATAGGCATGCGTAGGATCCAGGGGTCTTGAACGATGTCCTGGGTAGCTATAATTATATGTTTGTATTGCAGTAATGCCTTGGAGCCCCAGCATGGACCAGTAGTCCACGGCACTAGGTGCTGTACAAACACACACACTATCCATCCTCCTAAAGATCTTTCTCTCATTAATAATGCTTTCTTCTAAAAGATATTCTGCCTCTGCCTTAAAATACAAGATATGCACACGTATCCGTGTCAAAAGAAAGTTAAAAAGCCAAACAAGAAAGACTCAGAAAAGGAAAAGTAAGGGACGCAGAGGCGTAAATTGCCTCAGGCAATCTAATACGTTTGCACAACTCCTCTGTGCTGTGTAGCTGACCTCTAAGCTGTATCATCAGAACAAACCTCACCCAGGTCATTCGTCAGGTACGCTCTGTGAAACTCCTGCATTTCCCCTCCTGCTGGTTTAGAGCTGCCTCCCAGACAACAGCGCCCAAAAAAGGGTGGGAACTTGTCTGATTACAGGTGACACCCCCCCAAAAAAGGGTGGGAACTTGTCTGATTACAGTCTGGCTGACTGCTGTGGGATTTTCTCCCAGCTGTGCTGCATTCCTCTGAGCTTCCCAGCTGCTATGATAGCAACATGCCAGATCTGCACCTCCGATTCCTGCATCCCGTTGGAGAGCTACTGTAAAAGTAATGCTCTGGATGGGACACGGGGTTTGTCACGTAAGTCTAATAAATTCAGGGAACGGCTCCCATTAACAATGGGCACTCTGGAAAACGACCTATTAACGCTAAAAGCACTTTCCATGTGTAGACCTTGAAGTGCTTTACAAGGGCCAGGGGATTTCTTCACTCCCATCTAACTGGTGTGGAAACAGGGGGCACTAAGAGGAGAAGTGACTCACCTGCTCAGTAAGGGCTGGGTGTAGAACCCAGATTTCCTGGGTGTTACTGATGTTACTAAAGAGAGAGGCTTTGGGCTGAGAATTAAGTTTACTATGATGCTCACACTGAACTATGATCTTAAGTGTTTCACCCCTTTCCCTTCCTACAGAACACGGGAAAGCAACAGTGTCTCTGAGGAGCACACATCCAGCAGAATTTAGCTACCATCTCTCCAAGCTCTGTGGCAACGTTAGCGAAGAAGTGTTAGGCATGACTCACGGGATGCTGACGGTGTCGGAGAAGAGCATGACTCTCAAAGTTTTCCCCCCTACAGAGGGCTTGTTTGAGCTGATGGTCTTTGCGCGCCCGTCGGATGCTCAGAACCCCTATAGCTGGGTGTGTTCCTATCAGATCAAGTGCCTAGAGTCACATAAGAAAGAACTGCCTGAAAACCCCTTTCATTTCTGGGGCCTCCATCCAAAGGGGAAAGACTTTGGGATTGAGGAATGCAACTGCGGAGAGGACCTGATTGTTGTTGCAACAGGAACTTTGCTGTTGACACTACAGACATCTAGACCCTTGCTGGCCACGTACCAGCTGGTGAATAAAGATCTAGACACCTCCCTGAGCACAAAGTGCCTGGCCTCTCAAGCAGAGGAGGAGAAGCTGAGTTGTCACGTGCTGTGTCCTTTTCTGGGTTACTATAGGCTCTCGGTGTTTGTGAAAGATTTAGAAGGTGACCTCTTCAAAAACGCAGCCAACTTCCTCATTTGTTGCTCTGGTCCCATCAACCAGAACGAGCTCTTCCCCTCTGGCCTCAGCATGCACTGTGGGACAGGGATCAGCACCGGCTGTAGGGGCTTTTCTAACCCCAGCCACCCTGCCGCCATCATCAACACCAACCAGGGTAAGTGCAACATCACGTTCCACACCCGGGCGGACACCGAAGTGACCGCCATCCTGAGTAAGGACAAAGTCACCAACACCAAGTACCCCATGGAGAGATACATCCTGCTCACCCATCTGGGAAACAAGGTCAGCATCTGTATCCTGCTTCCTGAATCGGGCCTCTACAAAGTGGGGCTCTTCAGCAGAAACCAGGACCACAAGGACTTTGCTCACGTCTGCGACTACGTCGTCCGCTGCTTTTCCGAGCCACGGTGGCTTCCGTTCCCCCGAGTGTACAGCACGTGGAGGAGAGGCTGCATCTTGCTACAGCCCAGGACGGGAGTGCTCCAGGAACGAAGCTGGATCAGGTTCAGAGTCAAGCTGCCAAAAGCCTACAGAGCTCTCGTGGTCGGGCAATCCAGGACTGAACTGCAGCCAACTCGCAGCAAGATCTGGGAGGGGGAGGTGTACACCGGGCTCGCTGGGACCGTGCTCAAGCTGGCGGTGAAGTTCAGTCAGCACTCCACCAGCATGGATGTCATCCTGTTGTTCGATGTGGAAGGCAGCTCCCCCAGTTCAGAGGGGGCTTCAGGGTAAATGATCCAGAGATACGGGGAAGCTGGAAATGATCAGGAGAGTGATGGAAGCAAGTGAGAAGCTCTCAAAATTGAGGGGCTCTGATAAGACACAGAAATAAGTCCAAAGTACCTGCACGTCAGGTGGCGTTGCAGAATTGTACATTGCACATCACTTCCCGCAAGATATGCTTAGATGCTTAGAGATGATGCAGCAATTTAATTAGAACCAGAACACTGAAGACTCCTAATAGTCTACATGTATCGGGGGAAACCGTTGTTCGACGCCTCTCCAGGAAGATTGTTTTACTGCTTATTACCAGATTGAATAATGGTTCGGCATGTTTTATTTGACATTTCTTCAAGGTCTTGGGAATTAACAAGGTTTTCTTCCTCTTAAGAGCAAAACAAAAACAAACAAACAAAACACCTGGCGCCAAAAGCATCAGGTGGTAGCAATATTTTTAAATACAAATATGTATAAAGGACGTTAAGCATTTCCTGATGGAGTCCATACTATCAAGGGAGAATGTGTGTCATTTTTAACTGCTGCTTTAAAATTTCTTCCAGGAGCTGAAGAATGGAGTCTACCAGTCCTTCACTAGCCAGCATGATGTGTAAGTGTCGTGTACATGTGTGTGCTGAGGATTTGGAATGAGAGCTGGGAGCGGGTACAGCAGTCAGGAAAGCAGTTCCTTGGCCTAGATACATCATATAAATAATAAATAATAATCATATAACAGACACCCTTGTAGCAGAGCTAAGAACACTGCACTGGCAGCTTGCTACATATAACAGAATGGATTCTACTAGTCTCATATTCTTCCAGAACACGTGTATCATTTATAAACACAGAGTAACTACATCACCAACCACCAACATGCAGCCACCTCTGGGGTGGTGCTAGACAATTTAACGTTGCACAACAATATTATGTGACAGTTTTGGATAGGAAGAGCTGGCAACTATATCCAGCTGCACCTCCAGAAGGGCTCTTTAAAGCAGAGTTTAGCTCGGCATTTCCACCTTGTTTGAACATAGGAACTGACCCTCTTTTAGAAGCTGCTGTCATTGCTGGGGGACTAGAGAGGGCAAGAGCGATGCAGTGGGTCTCTGCACAACATCCAGTGAAACCGTCTCCGCACCCACTCTGCACTGATGTTTTAAATGGAAATTCTGGCTGCAATACCTTTGCATGAGTTCTGGGGATTATTTCGGGCTGGTTTTAAAGAAACAGACAGGGGGCACTACCCACTGTTATTCAGAGGCAGAATGTTCTGTTTGATTTACTGAAGAAGTTGGATAAAAATGGCTTTTACTTAATTTCAGCCGGCTTTTCCAGGGCATGGAAAATAATCAAACATCTGAGCTGGTACATCGGTGAAAGCCAAGGGCCCCATTTTACAGGAGCCGAAGAACTAAATGGGAAAGCACAAAAGTCCTGGAATAATAGGGAGAAAATCCTGCCAAGGAACATGATACAAGGATAATTATGAACCGAGATGGATCTGCCTGGGCAGCGTCCACATTGCCAACCGGCTAGAGGCATAGAGCACCTGGCAAGGAAGGAGATGTGGCCAGGGCCACTGAGAGCAGGTTCGGGCCCCGGTGAAAAAAATTTTTCGGGACCCCCAGCAAGGACGGAGGGGCTAAACAGAGCCAACGAGAGGGGGGGAAGCTGGGCCCCGGGCCCCCTTCCAGACCGCCAGGCCCCGGTAATTTGTACCGGCTCCCCCCCCCCCCGCCCCCTCGTCAGCCCTGGGTGTGGCTGTGATGACAAGTATCTGTCAATAAAGTAGGTCTCCTAAGATGCACATGGGCATTCGTTACACATTTAGGTTTCTTTTTCAAAAAGATGAGGATCAAGGACAGACGCTGCTCACACTTACGCACAATCCCACAGTGGGCTTGTAAGGACAGACCGAGAACAGAATTGGGTCCAGGGTGCTAAAGATATAGTTCAAGGAAAGTAGCAAACCACGTACCCCAAAAGGGAGAACAGTCAGAGTACCACAGATACAGGACAGCCTATAAATAATTGGGTAGGGGAGGGAATCGCCACTGGAGATGGGAATGTTTGAGACCCTGATGGTTTCTCAACAGGTGCATCCTATCAAGAGGATTTTCCTTTGGTTTTGAAACAATGGGCTGAATTCTCAGCTGGCATAAATGCATTGAAGTCCAAACCGGGCAGTACCGCCTAATGGCAATACTCTGGGCTGTGTCACACGGCAGCGAGAGTCAATGACTGGGAGTAGGGGAACCTGGGCCCTTCCTGCTCCACAGGGTTCCAAGCCAGGGCCCAGTAAATAGTAGTTCAAAATATGATTCCAAAATATGGCCACCCCAACGCCTGATCCCGGCCGCATGGGGCCTCAGTGACTTCTTGGCAGGAGCCTGCACTACACAACTACTCTCCTGCTCCGTCCACCTAGACTGAGCTGAACTGCTCCCTTTTGAGCTCAGCCTCCACTGTGAGTATGCCCTGCAGGGGCAGCTGGGCAGGGCTTTCTGGGCCCACAGCTGCTCCTTAACCCTTCGCAGTACACCTTGATTAAACTGAACAGGATGATGCCACTTTATACCAGCTGTCGATCAGGCCTAATATTTCCACTCTTCCCCCAAAAAAATCAATTGAAGAAGAGGGAAATGAGCTGCCCAAGCAGGCCAGACAAGGTGATCATAACGGTGCCTTCTGGCCTTAAAAACCTGAGTCGCCAAGGACATTTGATGTGTGTCGTGTTCATACTCTCCTCTGTATAAAGGAGATCTGTCTCCTTTGTGCACCAAACCTGCATGGTATTACCCTTCACATGTAAGGCTTTCCATTCTGCTCAGATCCCTTTTTGTGGGAGTCACTTGGCTGAAATGTCACCATTTATTCTACCTGTCTCTCTCACAAAGATTATTTAAAAGCGCTAAAGCGCTTAAAATTGGATGGTTAGAGAGGAGTACAGAACTGGACCAAAAGAGCAACAGAAAAAAGGGGTATCTAGTCAGAAAAAGAAATTATCTCACAGGCTCAAATCCTGCAAGCAGATCTACACAGGCAGAGACGGCTCAGGAGGCAACATAGCCTACAGCTCAGGGTGCCGCCCTGTGAGTCAAGTAGGCTGGATTCTAGTTCCAGCTCTCCCATTTAACTGGTGTGTGACCTGAGGCAAGTCCCTTCACCTCCCTGTGCTTCTGTTTTCCCTCCCCCTTTTGTCTAGTCAATTTTGTAGACTTTAAGGCCAGAAGGGACCATTAGATCATTTAACCTGACCTCCTGTAGAGCACAGGCCGTTCCATTTCACCCAGGCAGCCCAGCGTTGAGCTCAGCAACTGGTAGGTTTGACTAAAGCACGTCTTGGGGTTGGGCTAAAGTGCATCTTCCAGAAAGGCATCCAGTCGCCATAGATCTTCCTGTGGTAATCTGTTTCAGTGGCGATTCACCCACACTGTTAAAAAGGTGTGCCTAATTTCTAGTTGGAATTTGTCTGGCTTCAACTTCCAGCCATTAGTTCTTGTGCTGCCTCTCTCTGCTTGACCAGAGAGCTCTTTCGTCCCTGGTATTTTCTCCCTGTGAAGGTACTTTGACACTGTAATCAAGCCATTTCTCAAGCTTCTTTTTGATAAACCAAACACACTGAGCACAAAGTGTCTCATGAAAAGGTATTTTCTCTAACCCTCCGGTCATTTTTGTGGCTCTTTTCTGTATCCTCTCCAATTTTTCAATGTCCTCTTTAAAACGTGGACACCAGAACTGCACACAGTATTTGTGATGCTGCTCATGCCAAGGCCCCTTGGCCTCTGAACACTGACAAAAGCACAGCTGGAATCCAGATTGGCTCACCCGTGTATTAGTGTTGTTAAAATGGTATTCGATTTATAAAAAATGTATTTAGACTTTATGAAATGCTTGTAAGTTGCTGCATGCATTAATCTCATTTATAGTCTTTGTACCCCGTGTTATAAGGTACTATTTAAATGTTTTCTCTATAACTATAAAAGTGTTTGCAATGAAACTGGAAAACCCCTGCAGTCATTAGTTTACCACAAGAGATGTCATCTCCTGCCCAACAAAAGAAGGACTATAGACATCAGACAAGCCATTGTGGACCACCAGTGGACAAAAGACTATGTTGATTGCTCCCTCCACATCCATGAAGAGGAGATGTGCATGAACGCTCATCCCATCGGCTTGAGCTCTGGGGAAAGGGAATAAAAATCCCAGTCAAGAAGAAATTATTATCCTTGTGCTGCTTGGACCTCAGGGAGAGGGCAAGACTTCTAAGCATAAGCAAGGGATCCCCGGCTGTTTAGCTTACGTTAACCCTAAAGGACTCACACAGCTTGCACATTACAGCAGCTTCTATCGCTTTTTGGAATCTAAGGCCTTGTCTCCACTGCAGAGTTTTGTCTCCAAAAGGCAGCTTTGGATACACCGCAATGCCACTTTTGGTGACAAAACTCTTCAGTTTCAACGACAAAATAAAACCACCTTGACGAGAGGCATAAAGTCTTTTGCAGCAAAGTTAAAACAACAAAGTATCAATGTAGACACTCCCGTTCATTATGCCACCAGAACTGGCCTCCCCCAGTATCCCACAATGCCTGCCGTGACCGTTCTGCGCACTGATTTGAACTCAGCTGCCCTGCAGGCCTGCACCCCTCCCCTTTCAAAGCTCCATTCTGACAGCTGAACCTGTTGCTCGGCGCCAAGCAACCAGGAGCAAACCATTAACATGGAACGCTCCTGCTCTCTCCCATGCTACGAACACAGAGGCAGGCAGGGACAGAGGTGTGTGTGTGAGTGTGTGTGAATGCTGTGCAGAGCCAGGGGCTGATGTCAGGGGTGCCCCTCTCCCCCAGGACTGGTTGCTTCCGGCAGCTGTCTGAATTTACAAGACAGCATGTAGACACACTCACTGTCTTACAACACACATTCCCCCAACACACACACATTGTGCGTCTCTCACACACCCTCCCACTCTCTCACACACTCTCCCAACACACAGACG